CCCTCGGAACAGGAGAGGTGAGGAGCGTCTGCCGGGACTCCCTCGGAGCAGGAGAAGTGAGGATCCATCTCAGGGGTTGCGTGCAACGTGGAATCCACCTCAGGGGCTGCGTGCAGCGTGGACTCAGAGATGGCAGTGTCCCTATCTTAGATAGTAAAAAATTATACTCGGGCAGCCAAGAAAGACAAGGAATAGAAAATAAAAAATCCTCCATCTGGGACAAAACGATGTCGATGCAAGACGGGTTAGCTTTAGCTGAATGAAATAACTCTAGTAAGGTTTGATTAATTTGCAAAATTTCTTAGGGTGAAAATGAGTGAAAAAAGGGAATGTTTCTATGTGGGGGTGTGGTGACGGGTGCCGCCCCCACCGGAAACTTGGAAGGTGAGGCGGCGGAACACGCCCCCATGGAGTCACTGGGTATACGCTTGGGAGGTACGGTCAGGCTGGGTCGGACAGCCGCGGCGCAGAGTGGCGGTGAGAGGCCGGATTCCGCCCCCACCGGAAACCTGGGAGGTGAGGCGGCGGATCCCGCTCCCACAGAAACACCGGAACCAGCTCTAAAATTCTGCTCAGCCGACGAGACCGGGCCGGTCGCCGCGGACTGCCTCCGGAACCGTTTTCTACCACTACGGCGGCAGTGGGACAGCAGAAGGACAGGGACGGAGTTGAGCTCGTCCATCTTAGCTCGCGGAAGGAAAAAGAAAAAAAGGTGAGTTTGCCAAGAGAGACCCTGCCCGCTGGGTTCTGGTCTGGTCGCGTCGTAATGTTAGGATTTTCTTAGGCAGGAGCGAACCCAGAGTGCAGACAGGGACTCAACTCGGCAGAATACAAAAATAGGTATCCTGATGCATGCTCAATAATCCAGGTAGAAAAATCCAAAAAAGTTCAATCTGGTCAGCTGGTTTTGGTTGTCAGCAGCAAACTGGTTGATCCACTCTGAGAAGGTGCTATTTAAGAGACTGAGCTGAAAACAGCACCTCAGACTGAAGAAATCTCTTGGATGAGAGACGAAACGTTTCTAGATTTTTTTGCTTTGTTTTTTTTTTTTGAATGTCCAGAGGACCAGATTGAACTTTTTTGGACAAAAATAGGTATTTAATGGTAAAATAAAGATACAAAATAACAGGCTGACGGGGCAGCAAAACTTACATGAACAGGAAGATAAGGCACGGGAAACTCAGGAGGACTCAGGGGACACGGAAGACTCAAGGAACTCGGAAGACTCAGGTGGAACACAGGAGACCCAACGAGTACGACACGACAACGAACAAGACTGACAGACGGCTTATATACAAGGACAAGACGAGACGTGATTACGAACAGCTGGGACGAGACAAGGGTGGTACTAATAGAACTAACGAGGGAGCACAAGGGAACACAGACACAAACCGGGCCACCAAATGGTACCATCCTTACAGTGGTGTTTGTAGAAACATAAAAACATATTGCTACATCTGCAGTTATGTATGAAATATAATCTTAAAATATCATCAGTGGAATCTTAACCATGTGCTTTAATCCTGTGTTAGTTTGGCTGCTCCATAACATGTAACAATAATTAAAAATAATAGCTCCGGTAAAAATACTGACCTATAGAACATTTCTACATTTTTCACTGCTTCAGTAAAGAAATCACATCAGACACAATCCTCTGAATAAAGTAATCTGACCCAGACCACAGCATGAAGTCACAGTACTCCTGCTCTGTCACAAACACCTGAGCTTGTACCTGGT